CCGACGATCAGGAGGCAAACTTTCAAACAGTAGAAACATGAACAGCAGATCCCGCATAAGAGAATAGGCTTTTCGACACAGAACCGGTGTAGAAAGAATTTTGGACCGTTACAAGGGCTGTCGCAACGGCGAATATAATTGTTGTCGTTGCCAGCCTAAGCTCAGCAAACGTACAGCCAAGTGGCGAGCCTAGTAACAGTAGTCGTATATCGACACCTGTTAAGCATCGGCTTGACTATTGATGCAACTATTCACATACTCATTGCCATCAACTTAGAGACAAGCCAAAAAACATGAGATCAAAGAAAATCAGCAGAAGTATCAAAATTCTGCAAATCTTAAACGGGTTCGTACTTGTTCAGAGCGGCGTGTGCGGATATAACATCGTTTCCATTAACAAAAACCGTTTTACGTAGAAACTTAATGTTGTTAAAGTAAGTTTCGAGAGCGACTCTCGAGGCCATGGAACCAAAACCGCAGCAGAGGGACCAACTCAAAGACTGCCTCAGAAGGACGCCATACTGCCCTTCGACACTCGCGCGCAATAGCGCACCGTTCGGAAGGTGCATAGATTAACCAATGGTAACGCGCCCCTGGCATACTTAAAGCAAAGCTAAATTATCCCATGACAAATTTTTATCAAACAGTCATCAATGAAAGTTTTGCATTTAATTAATTTTATTTAACACTGTTTGAATAAAAGTTAATCACATTTTTCTTAATGACCTTAACCTCTGTGAAGTTAATGCTCAGTTTACGAAATGATTTTGACTTTTGATATCACAATGCACTAAGACTGCAGGAAAACTTTTATACATTTGCTTTATAGCTTACTAAGTCAAGGTCCATTTATTACCATTACCCACAAATGAACGAAAACTTTTATGCTCCTCTGAGCGAGGTGATCCATCAGCTAATATGAGACTGAGGAACGGTATTTAGTCCGCTTAGCAGCTTCAACCGTAGTGAGAAATTGCTGTTATCCATCAATGCTCTCTACGGCTAGATGTTGGAACACTGACCCAAAACAGTGTTTGACAAGGAAAGACGGGATGAAGCACAATCCCGTGTGTGCGAAGATCAGAAGTAGTGTCATTTCCAACACCTATGCGTAGACGTAGTAAGGAAGATTCCGATGCACAATATTTTCAAATGATGCACGGCAGTGTTGCCTCGGTTGTTAATGGCCTGTCTGCGGACCACGGAGGCAAGGTGAAGCAAAGCACAGTTGTGAAGTATTTAGGTAATCTTCTACCGGAAGTCCATGCGCTTTCTTCGCTCTATTGACATCTTTCACAAACGGTGGATACTAGGATGTAATCGTGGCAGTACAGACTTTCTGATGCCCCAATGTGCCGTTCTGAGATTTTCCGTTAGGTGGAAGAAGTTATTAAGTTGGGCAGGACGTGTGTTCTGAGAGGTGAAGAGTGGATAGGGCCATGGCTTAGCCCGAAAGCCAGCACACATGTAGATGGACTAGACTTCAGGTGGTCGCAAAACAAAGCATTACAGCCTGGAGTAGAAAAGTGAATCGACAACACTTTCATGTTGTCTCACATGCCTACACACCTTGTAAGAAAATTCGCAACACTACCACACCATTATTTTTGCCATTGGGATGTTTTAATAGTGCATAAGTAAACCTAAATTTAGTTAACGAGTGCGTCCAAATTAATGGGCTATTTGATAATAATTTACTGTAAAACCATATATTCTAATATGGCGCCCCTAGGCATCTTATTAAGTAGAAGACATTAAGTTGGGCTTTTTACATGTATTCTAGGAGGATTAAAGGAGATTAAGCCCTGGCTTAACCCAAAGGCCAGCCCACGCGCAAAAGAGCAAGAAGAATATTAAAGTTACCGTCAGACATTGGGTGGTTGCATAAACAAAGTGTTACACCAAAATTGTTCCAGGACGTTCTCGTAGTCTGCACGTTGTTATCACACAACTTTTTCCCGGCTGAATCCTCAGAAGTCCTTCCACTTATCGAAACACTGTTGAACATTAGAAACACAATATAGAGATTACAGTGGAAGAAGGGACAGAAGATACCTATTCCCGTTTGCGGGTGGAGTCTGTTGTCTCCACGCGCGCGGTGTTAGAATTAAGTCTCCAATTCTAACCTACATGGCAATTTTAAACAACTAATATGCATTAAAGCAGTATTACAGCTGGATACGAAGTAGATTTACATTTATCTTCTCAGTTAGATGGTACGTTATTAACACGCTTTTAGCGTCCTGTGACTTCTTGTCATGTATTAAAAGGCATAATATTTACTTGAGTATGCAGTCATGCAGAAGTGAAAAGTGCGGCTGTCATTGTGACAGCCATTCATTGCAGAAATTCGACCAAACAATGTGCAACATCGCTTATTTTGCATCTGATCCTTCGGACACGTCTGATTTGGGGGGTCTGGTTGATGATCTCGATAAGCTAACACCTGCTTTATGATAACCTATCCATAGAGTTTATATTTACAGTGATATTGGGAGTGTAAAATGGTAATCGGTGGAGTTATGCTCTCGTGCACTTAACCTAACTGTAGTAGCAGAGGATTTCGAATTAAATATCTGTTTGACACTCATTGATAAGGGTACTAAGAAACATTATTCTCGATAGTCGGGGTTTAAAGCTCTTCCCGACTGACCAAATTATGGCATTCTAAACTGACCAATTCCTAATGACATGCTTCTCAAAATCTAAGACACAATTAAGTCCAAAGCATTACAGTCTTATTCGCCTAATGACACTTCCAACTTGCTCAAATTGCTTAAGGCATGATGTGCTGGCAATAGATATCACAAAATGACCACTAAACACTTCCATCACGCACGTTTATGACCGCCAAAACAGCAATAAATCGTCAAGTGTTGAAGTATCCACATGGCATAAAATCTTTGTTGCAAAATTTGAGCTTGGTAAGGCAACTCCACAGTTCATGCATGATAATCCGCGCTATTCTCCCACCATAGAAAATTTACAGAAGTGTTAGTAATAACAATGGGTGCTGTGTCAAACCTTCAGGTAGGAGCCCAAATGCACAATGTAATGGGAGAAAAATCACGAATTATGAAAGCATAGACGTCAACTCTCATCAAGTGGCGCCTCTGAAGTCATAAAGGAGAGACTAAATGGCAGGTTAATAGTACACTGCATTTCCTCTAACGTGGAATTACAATTCTTCGGGGTCTAATTGTTACTGCATTAGAAAACCGAGATATTACGTATGTTTACAGATATCCAAGCGACAGAATCAGCCCTTCATTGGCCAGGCTCCGCTGTGTATGGGCACACATTAAGTCTCAGCCTCGGATAGATAGATGGCGAGTGCAGATTGCTTTTTCAGAATAAAGCGGGGGCGAGAGAGAGAGAGAAAGTCTTTTTGCCATTAGCATAAGACCGTTTGCAGTCCAGCAGATGCACGTAGCCAGACTACAAGCTATAGAAAGGAAAGAAAAATACCATGAAACAAGTTGCTGACACTGTTCGTCGAAGCATTACTGTGACCGAGGCCTTCCGTAGCACCACCTCAGGAAGGGAATGTGATGATTTCCCAGTGAAGGATCATGACGATCATCTGAGTGAACCACAAATTCTTAATCTGGGTGGGTTAGACATTCCCCTCATGGAAGGAGGACTAAATCGGTATGAGAAGCTCTATCTGCGTTCGGCTGAGTATGGAGATGTGAACACAGCACGGCGTTTGATTGACAACGCTAAACACTACAACATCAACGTCAATTGCATGGATGATATGGGCAGAGGAGCGATACGAATCGCCATTGAGGCGGAGCAAATTGAGCTACTTCAGATGTTGCTTACTTATGAAGTGATTGACTTAAAGGACTGTTTGCTACATGCCATTTCTGAGGAGAACGTTCAAGCCGTGGAGCTAATCCTACAGGCTCAAAGTGAACGCCAACAACGAAAGAACCTAAAAGCAAGTGT